CCAATCATCGAGCTGAGGATCTTACCTTGTCTGTTTCCGGTTTCGTTTATGACGGATGTATTTTGTTATACACACATTCCTTCACATTTAAATTAAAATGTACATTAAAGTATTTTGTGAGGCCTTCTAACATGTTTTTATATATAACTACGGTTGCAGTTGAAGAGTTTGTAAATTAACATGAACCGAAGCTGTTGCCTGGCAACGCAATGGCACGACGTCACGTCCGTTAATTCCACAACCGCACACATGGATTAACATCGATTTAATACATTAATGTAGCCTTTGTTTCTGCTAAAAGAGGTGTCGACCAGCTGGGGCAACAAGAAAATTGCCGTAATCGAGTGTGACTATTACAAAATAAATCATTATTATATTAATATTGACAATAACAACCGACCGTCGGGGTAGCATTTGCTTGGCATTTCCGGTTATTTCTCCACTGGTTAACATGGGTTAGCAATACCGTGTAACTGTCAGGTTTGAATGGACAAAATCGTGACATCTTCACGTCTCCCAGCATGGTAAATGGTCACATGTTCACGTCTTGCCGTGATACCGGGTTAGTTAAACCATAGAGATGTTGAAGCATTTAATTTAGATCGGACACTGTTCCCTAATGAAGGGTACAGGGAAATCAATGTCCTTTTTGGCCACATTTAATCTGAAATGAAGTGAATGGATTGATCTGTGATGAATACCAAACGTCTCATCACATTTCTAAATATCGTTCTAATAACATGGGGTGTAGGTGCCATAATGCTACTTAGCCCAAGTTCATTATTTGTATTATTTGTTTACGTCACTTTTATTTGTTTGTTGAGCACTTCCGGTAATTGTCACATGGGTGTGGTTTGTCTATATAAGTCACCTGTTTCATGTCGAGTGCAGATGACAGAGGGTGAGCTTGTGCTGTCATTTTTTCTGTTGACCGTTTTGTCCATAGTTACTATGTTATCATTTTGTTTATTAAATATCCCAAAAACTATCTTGCTTCACTATGGACTTTCTCTTCGAAAACGCGTCACAGTTTATAGCCAAGTTTAGCCTCTCGGTGACTCAAACGTAACTGGGGATTGAGCCGTCACATGGGGTTTGTGCAGAAAGCCATTCTTCTGTATACTCTTTGCTAATATATTGTGGCAAATGAAAGAGAAAAATGATGAACAGACATCATGTGGGGGAAGACATTGCATATCTTTATTCTGCTGTTTCTAGAACAAAGCTTACATTTTTTTAAATATTCTCTTACTTTGAAATATACAGATTTTTTCCAAATGTTGGTGTTATATATTAATGTATAGAGAAATAAATCTTGATACAAATATAACATAAAATATGACAGTACAACTCTTGTCCGCTGCATTATTGAATAGAACAGACACTCATAATTTCCTCTGGCTGCCAAACTATAAATGTACACTGCATTGCTTATTGCACTGTAACACTGTTATGTATTATGATAATGGATGCAGTTCAGATATGTTGTGCATGTGTCTTTTTCACATTGTGCTTCTAGGATCCCTCTGAGGGATTACAAATGTATGTTTGCGATATATCATCAACAGGAAGCTTTATTTAGAGTGTGTTAGTGGTGGATTTTGCTGTCACGCTGCAGCCACATGTGCAGGCAGTCGGATAAGTTATGCTTTTGATCATCAACCTATCATTGGGTTAGGTCTCCCTTCAACTGTTGATGGAAACACAGTTTCAATGAAGATGTCCATGCACCTGTCACCATGACGTTTTAATGAGTATTTTCATTCTAATGTGCTGCAGGTTCTTAGCCCCCCACTCACACAGCCTACCAAAATCTATTCCCCTTATCTCTGAAAAGCACCTTTGGTGTGCATCACTCCTGTTACTCTGCTATTGTGTGTGTGGTGTACACCTGCACTCTTCTCAATGATCCTGAATATACATACAAACAGACCGATTCTTCTAGTATATTTGTAACACAAACAGCATCATTTTTTTGCATTGCATTAAAGTCAGTACCAGAATCTGTTTAACCATGACCAACGATACACAGCTTGTTGTTTCCTTCCAGATGATAACACCACCTCTCTTAGCTTACCCAAGTCATTGTAAAACTCAAGTCATAATGTTTCACCACTAGAAAAAGTCAGTGTGTATTACTAGAGCACATGCAGTTGTGTTGTTTGTGAGTATGGCTACAGTACATTAATAGCTCTGTTTACTGTGGTGAATGACAGTGGTTTGGTCCTCTCGACCAGGCTTAAGCCTGTAAGAAATATCTCAGTCTTGAACTCAATTGTATGCAGTTGATTTGCATCCATTCAGTCTGATATCAACAATATTAGCCACTCATTTTATTTGTAACTGAAGTCATTGAAATTCAAATTCATTCAAAAATAATTTTAACTCAACAATTTTGCTGCACAGATACTTTTTAACATTCATAGGTATTTTTGCTTTACGCATATTAATGTCAAACCCCGTCCATTGATTGAGGCTATGAGATTACATTTTCTTTTCAATTTTTAACAAAAATTCCACCTTGTGGTTGTCTCTTCGTGATTTGGATGCACCAATACATTGCGGTTCATTTCAGAAATCTGTGGGGCTCTTCATGCAATACATTTGGCCAGAACTGACACTTGTGTATTATGTCAACTGATTTCACAACTCTATTAGGTTAGTTGAAAGTTCAATAAACAATATTAGGTTCAACTTAATATTATTGCTTTGAACTAACCTAATACAATTATGTGAAATCTGTTCAATATTACATTTAATTAATGTCAACGTTTATAGATATCCACATTAAACGTTTGATAGTATGACATTTCTGTATACATTATATATTAACATGGGCTAGCATCACGACAAGTAAATCTCAAAGAAGGTGAGGTCATTTCATTCATCTATCCACCAACCATGGTCCATGGCAGCAAACCACAACAACTACAGGCCTGATTACAGACAGAATAATGTGTAGATGTTTTGGTTTCCTTCTTGAACTTCCCTTTAAGTGCCATTGTCTCATGGGAACTCATTTCTATCTGACTTTCTCCTTTCTAGGCCTACAATAAATGTCAAAACAATGGAGAGGTTTCATGTGGACACTGGCAACTTTCCTCTACTTCCACTCTCAGTCCAAGATGTCAATTTAGCACATGTTTCTCCTAATCTATTTGCTAGATTGACACACATTCATGCTCCTGGTTGATGAACCCCTTTTAGTTTTAAGTCTTGCTTATCCAAAATAAGTAATTATTGCCAAACAACAGGATACATTTTGTCAAGCCATTTCAATAGGTAGCAGTAGGATCATTTGAATACATTTGAATAAGCCGGACGGAACGTGTTCTGCTTTAGCTGCTGTCACCCAGAGAGGCCAGTATGGAGATGGCCTGCGAGGCGAGTTTACTGTTACTGTGCTCTGTCAGTTTACTGAGGCTCTCCTTCATATTCACAGAGTGCAGCTCCTCCTTCATCACACCTACAGCAGACAAGGGTGGAAGGGAGAGCAGAGGAGTGTGAAATGGATTACAACTGGGAGTGGAGAAGGCCTCTCACGCTGACTTCGTTGCACCTGTGTGAGCACAACTTTTATCCACTGATTTCAGCATCATCATGACAAAATGTGCTCCTGGAGACACGGACCATAACAGGAAGTACCTGGAGTTATCCCATCTAAACATGGTCTCTGGTTTTACAGCGATTTTAAACAGAGCTCTCTGCTCAGCTTGTGCAGAGGCTTTGACGGGAGACTTGTGTAACACATTCAGTCTTAATTGATGAAAAAAGGACACGTTTATATGATTTATGTTTGTTTTAGGCACTTTTCTTTTTCTAAAGCTTGTATCAATGACACATTTGCTTGGTACCTCTGCCGCAGTGGGCATTGGACAAACTGCAGTTTTAGAGCCTTGTGCTTGGGGATCACCTCTCGAGATTTATGGTTTAAGGGTATCTGTTTTAGCGTGCTTTACATTACATAAATTAGACATGGAATATAATGTAATAAAGCAATTTGGGGTGAAGTGTCTTGCCCAAGGACACATTGACATACTGACCCCAGTGGGGATCAATGTTGGACTGAACCGGTGCTCCCTTGCTCCCCTGATCTGAGGGTCACCCACTAACCCACTGCGCCATGGCCGCCCCGCTTGGCTAAAGCAGAATTGTTTCCTAAAGTTATTCATAAATACCAGATGCTGGAGATGGTTTTGGTAGTTTTATTGGCTGCTGCTAGATTCAAGATTCAAAGGTTTTTTGTCATAACATATACATAACTACGGTGTAAAAAAATAAATATAAAAACCAACAATACAAATAATCATTATTAAAAAGATGATGATAACCCAAAAGACAGGGTCTTCGAGTCCAAGTGTTCAGCAAGATAAAACATCTCCATTGCATTGTCCACAAACAATTCTGTATGCAGATATGTTTTGATGATTTGAGACTGAATGGTGGAAACTGAACAGTACAAGAGCTTGATTGAAAATACTACAGGTTGCAGAGATATTGCAAAAAATTTGATAAATCATCATGGGGCTTGTGAGGTGGAACACTTACTGGAGTTAGCCAGGCTGCAGATCAGACCCAAAGCACTGAACTTGACTTCGATCGCCCCGAGAGGATCCTCCAACATCTCCTTCAGCATGGTGAGCAGCACAGAGTCCCTAAACGCTTCCTTCATAGACTCTGTGAAACACACACACACACACACACACACACACACACACACACACACACACACACACACACACACACACACACACACACACACACACACACACACACACACACACATATTATTTTTAGTATTGGGCTGATCATAAACCCTGCGTAGCCAGAGGTTAGCTGATCATTACTCACACACAGCAGCGCACCATTATTCCTCCCCATGTCCCTGAGTTGGAATCAAACAACTACAGAATATTTGAGTGACTTCATGTTTAGGGTTCAACAGAGCAGTTCACCACCACAGACCAGGTGGAGAGTGGTGGAGCTGAGTAACTACAGCTCTGTTTACACCAAATCGTCCGAATGACAATTTCAATATTTATGTATTTATAATGTTCATTATGGCTGGAATAATCTGTTCTTCCTTTTTGCAACAACATACAAAAATATATATTGCATAGTAATGCAATGAAGATTTTTTGTTGACTTAAAGTGTCTCAAAATGCTTTACCAATGTCAATGGCAAATGCTATTGCCAGGGAAACCAGGGCCTCGTTCTGCATGATGACATGTTCACTTGTTGCCATGGAGATAAGGTGCCGAACCCCATCTGCTTTGGCTACAGCATGGACCACTTCCTGTCAGAAAGAGGACATGTTCAGTGCTGCACGGTCATGACGTTAACAGACAGGAATGATGAGCCAGCAGAAAGAGGTCTCACTGCGCTGCGACTGTGTCTGATGAGGGCAGCCAGGAGGCGACTGGACTCCCCCCGGACCCCTGCATGGTCTTTGGCCTCACACCACTCCATGACCCGGGCCAGCAGCACAGCGTCCCTCCCCAGCACCAAAGCTGCCTCCTCTGCAGCGCAGCACAGAAAAGAGAAATTAGGATTGAAGACGTCGGTAGAGAAGCTGTCAGATCAAAGATAGCAGTGGGGAACCCTTTACTAAGGAAACCGTCTTAATAAGAGGGATTCATATTTGAAGGAATTAAATGATCCCCCTGTGGAACTTAATGTTATCAACAGACATGTTGGAATGGACAGAGATAAGTGAGAATGTAAATGAATCCAGGGAAAACTGCATAAAATAGAAAAACTGGAAAGGTTATTCTGTTCTGGGTGGGACGGCTCATATGGAGAATAAAGGACAAATGATCATAATCCCTGTTATTCTTTCTTTTACATTTTCACTTTCAGTCTCGTTTCCTCCTCAGACAGATCAAACCATACTAATTTTTGTGTGATAGTTATATACAGTGTATATATATATATACACTGTATATATATAGTTCTGTTCATTTGTCTATTGTACAAATGTGTCTGTTAGGCACCTGAGGAATATATCAAGGTTCATTCCGTGGAACATGGCACTCATGCATTATGTCAGTTACATCGAAACATTCCCTGTGTGTAACTATAAAGTACTGTGCTAACCGTGTCCGTCCGCCATCATGCGCAGTGTCCCCAGCAGTTTGAACTGCACCGGCGGCATGTCGGAGCGCAGCAGGCTCTTTATTCTCTCCGTCACACCGTCCTCCAGCATCCGCACTTTGTTAGTGGCTGCAGACACAGAGCATCCTGTCAGTTGAAATGTCACAGCAGCGTACATACTGTTTCCTTTGATCAGTACCAGGAATGGCCAGGTTTCTGAGCGCGCTCAGTCCAGCGTGTTGAACAGACACATCTCCTTCGTCCACATGTTGCTCCAACAAGGTCAGGATGTGAGGAACCACCCCAAGGTCCAGCATCTTCACACAGTTACTATCTGAGAAAACACAGCAGGCCAACACACATTTTCTGTATTACAGCACATACACATTTCAAAATCCACAACTCTCACACAGGCACTATTGTTATTGCTTGACAATAAACATTGTATTATTTAAAAATAACAAGACATTTATTTCAAGAAGATATTAGATCTGAGATCTAAAACAACCTTTTTTTTGGCCACTTGGTGGTAGCAAAAACAAGCAATAAACTAAACTCTGAAACATGTATAACAATTAGGGCCGGGACTTTAACGCGTTAATTAAGATTAATTAATTACACAAAAATTAACGCGTTAAAAAAATTAACGCATTTTAATCGCACTTATTTTTGCACCGCGGAACGTTTCTCACTGGATGAGTTTCAGGGGTACCGATTATACTGGAGCACCAACTAACGTTCATTACTTCAGACAACAACAAACCACAGTGAACACTAGTCAAACACACGAACGAACAAGCTGATGAGACCGCTTTGGTTGGCCCCGTGGATGGGACATTTTGTTTTAAAAAACGGACGGATGGAAGCATCGATAAGAGCACGGTTGTTTGCAAATTATGCAAAAAGGAATTTGCATATCACCGCAGCACATCAAGTCTCAAGTATCACCTCAATGCAAAACCTATAGCAGCTAGCGTGGAAGCTAGCGTGGACGTTAGCCCGACTCGGAGTACAAGGACCCACACCCAATTCGCGTTGATCAAACAGTGGCCTATGCAACAGAGAGATTTTATTTTTCATCAGGATATTGGAAGAATAGGAGGGATTGAGGTCAATCACTGGCACTTTTTTATTTTATTTTAAATGGTACAGTACACTTTATGTTGAACTATTTATTATGTTGTTGGTGCAACTGGCACTTTATGTTGAACTGTTTATTGTTTTGGCCAAGGTTATTGAGAGAGTTGGACTGAAATGTATTAGATTTTTTAAATCAACTGTTGGTAAATCAACAAAGTCTGTTATGGCCTCTGAAGCAACAGAGAGATGTTTTCTAATAGTCAGGGTTTCCAATGTTCTGAATGTACTTGAAAGTATTGTGTTATACTTCAAAAAGAAAGTGTTATAGTTTACAGAAGGTCTACCTACCTATAGGCTACCTGAATCTCTGAAATGTACTATATTCCTAAATATGCTATTGCTACACTTTATGGCAAAAATTGCACTTTTCTGTTGGTCTTGGTTAAGAACCACCTTGAAAAAAATAAACAATGTTTTGTTGCTTAAGCTTATGTATTCAGTCATTATTCAATGGTATACTAAAATCCATGTGAAAAAAATTGCTT